CCGTTGGTGTGGTCGATCAGCTGATTCGTCCAGCTCGTCATGTCTTCGTGAATGTGTGCCACCTTCTGGCGTGTATACTCTTCAGTATCCCGAGAACGTTGTGAATGCCGATCAAGTCGTTGCTCGTATGCTCGGAGACGGGCGCTTTGTGCCTCCAGTTCGCTTTCCAGACGTGCGAGGTGACCCTCTACACGTACCTTCTCAGTATCTCTTTCACGAATTAACCTGGGAGAGCTCCAACTGCGCGTGGTCCGCCGCCCTCTCAACCTCCTGCAACCTGTCGGTGGGGCGGGCGAAATCGCAAACCGCGGGGGGGGAATCCAGCTGGCCAGTCTGGGCTCGTCCGACACGCAACTCTGCCAGGGCGTCCTGCACACCAGGAAAACGCTGCTCGATGTCAGAGATCCGGTTAGCGAGTGGCTGCACGACAGCGTTGGTCGCATCAAGCCTTTGAGTGATGACTCTCTCAGTACGCTGCAACATGTCGATCAGGTTCGACGAGTTGGTGTGTGCTTCGTTGCGAAGCGTCGCCGTAGTGTGGTCTAGATAAGATCGAAGATCATTGATCTGCGACTGAACGTCGCCAAGGTCGGTGGCCTCGGCTGGTGTTGGTCGGTTGCGGAGCTGATCGTGGATCTCATCGTGTAAAATCCTGACTGCTGAAACGCCTGTGTCGCGTACGAGCACAAGCTGTTGCTCCATCTGCGCGAGGTAGTTGCGCAGGTTCTCGACCATCGCCGTTCGTTCACCTGAATGTGACACCTCACGATCAACCTGGTACTGCAGTTCACCTATGATGCGCCGATCTTCAGCGATATCCTGGAATCAACGATCCCTAAGGCGCCGTCCAGATCGTGGCGCATGGCTGCAGCATCGGCGGCGTTCGTCTGCACGCTCTGCAGTAGTCCAGAGTATTGCCTGGACACGAAGGTTTCAACCTGGTCTCTGAGCTCAGCTATGTCACCTGCGGCCGACGTTTCCGCCAGCTGATCGTCTGAGATGGAGAGGTGGGGAGCGTCAGCTTCCCTGTGTCCCCTGTCGCGGGGAGCGCATGGCCTCTGAGAGGCAGTACGCGGGCTCGACCTACTCTCGCCGCATGGGCCTGGGGCTCCACGGCGGTTGCGCGCGGACGAGCTGCGACTCGGACCATGTGTGTGGTGTCTCGTCCGATGATACCTTGGGGTACTGCGTATGCGGCTGTGCCGCCACTGGTCTACTGAGTTCCTCGAAGGTGGCTACGTGCTCCGCCACGGGGACGGTCGCAGGGCTGGGGGTACCAGCACCTGAGGTCCATCGGCGGTTAGCGCGAAAGCGCCCTGGAGTGTCATGACCAGTGAGGCCTTCGCCTGACGCGGTTGGGATTGCTCCCGACGGGTGAGGGGATGGAGGATCGAAGGTAGGCGTGTGGAAATCCTTCCTCCCTGTTCCTACTCCTTCTCCTGTCCCCCCGCGGGCGGCGCTGCGGTGGAGTTCAGCAGCTAGCCGCGCCTCGGGTCCGTCGGAGCTGGGGGGGGGGGGTATCTGGAACACCAACACAGTCCGCACTAAGGCTCTCCAACTCGTCACCGAGCCGTCGCGCCGTCGGAGAGCTCGGACGCGAGGCCCCGATGGACCCCTTGCGGCGCATGCGCCGCAGGGGCTCCATCGAGACCGCGTGCGAGGTCGCAACGTGCGGTTCGGTGAAAGGTGAGCTTTAAAGGGCTGATAACCTGTGTATGGGGTTGAAGTACAAGGGTACAGAATCCCTGATCCGTTGGTAGAGGGAAGGAGGGATAGATGGATGTCTTTCCCTCCTGCACGATCAAAAGTCTGATCGATCTGTCCCAATACCTGAGCCCAAACGGCCAGGCGCATGAAAGGTAAGGATAAGGAGTATATATGAGGGTATTACACGGGTTCTATTCACACCCACAGGTCCCCAACGTCCTGCTGACCCGACAAGCTACAAGATCTCGCACGTCCCGCGGAGGGCCCAGTTCACACATGCCCCTCATGTGCATGTCTCACAGGCCACAGAAGTCTCCCTGGTCGCACGGGTCCCGCAGGTCCACAGGTCCTACCTGCCCCACAGGCCACAAAAGTCCAACAGGTTCCACATGTCCCCCACCACAGATCGCACAAGTCCCACAGTTCCCAGCGGCGTCCTCTGCTTCCATCAGGTGTTTTGCCGGGGCAGTGGAATTCCAGGCCGACCACGACACGCGTCCGCGGCTACATGACTGCGTAGGGCTCGTGGGAGCAACTCGCACGCTACTTGCACTGGAGACGCCTCGGGCCCGACGTGGGGACTGGCCCGAGAGTCGCCCTCCCGATTTTGGACGCCCGGAATGGGTACGGAAAGAATGGGCACAATGCCCAACAACAAATGTTGTCCCAAACCAGCAGCGGCCGCTGTTGGGCGGGCGGCCTCCTGTCTCGAATGGACACAGGCCGCGGCGGCGTGGACAGCGAGCCCTGTTCAAAATGAACAGAAACTGCTGTTGGGCATCGTGCCCATTCTCTCCGTGCCCACTTCGGGCGTCCAGACCGATGCCTGCAAGAACACGTCTGCCGAGGCGACCGGGAGAGCGGCCAGCTGCCGGGGGGCAACCCGCCCTCCCGAGGAACCACCGAGGCGGGCGAGGCCCGGGCCCCGGCTGCAGCTGGAAGGGCCCGGAGGCAGCAGACCCCGCCTGGGGGCGAGCACACGCAGGCCTCTGCATGCAGATGGAGTACAGGGCAGTTCTTAATACATAGGATGTTTAAAAACATGGGATTTTTTATACATGATTCATTTATGAGTAAATGTCTGCATGAATTCATCGTTGTTTTTAGTACTGAATCCCTGCGTCTTTAATACATGATCCGCACGCGGAGCATGTATTAAAAACGGCACTGTACAGTGCATGGCCGACCACCCAAGAACAGCCAAGCCAGGCCGCTGATCAGGGCGAGGGGTGGGGAACGAATAGCGACTTTTGAGCCCAGCTGATTATGGACCGCAGTCCCTCCCCCGAAGACAGATACGACAACGGAACATTCGTAACTTCCAGGGCCGTAGGGGAAGTCAGCCCGCCCCCGGGAAGCTCTCGGCGGGGCAACAGAAAGATACAAAAACTGTGGCAACGTATCCACACGGCCCTCCGTGTGACGGGGCAGCGGCACCGACCCACCAGCCGAAAACCGTACGCGGTCAACGCGGACACCCAAGGGGCAGCTTACGCAGGCCAGCACAGCAGCCAGCGGCCGCCGGCCCACACACGCAAACACCACGAGAGGCCCCCAACCTCTGGTGCAAGACAGACTGAAGGAAATTCCAACACGAATCATGGCCCGAGCCCCAGCCCCGCGAACCCTGCCTTAGTTATGCCCCCTTTAAACGGGTCGAAGTGTTACATAACTGCGTATGGTTCGTGGGAGCAACTAGCACGCTACTTGCACTGGGGACTCCTCGGGCCCAACGTGGGGACTGGCCCGAGGGTCGCCCTCCCGATGCCTGCAGGAACACGTCTGCCAAGGCGACCGGGAGAGCGGCCAGCTACCGAGGACAACCCGCCCTCTGGAGGAAACCCAAAATGGGCGACGCCTAGGCCCCAGCTACAGCTGATGGGCCTAAAAGGGCAACCCTCCTCCTCCTCCCCCTCCTCCTCCTCCTCCCCCTCCTCCTCCTCCTCCTCCTCCTCCTCCTCCTCTCCTCCTCCTCCTCCTCCTCCTCCTCCCTCCTCCTCCCTCCTCCTCCTCTCCTCCTCCTCCCCCTGCTCCTCCCCCTGCTCCTCCCCCTGCTCCTCCCCCTGCTCCTCCTCCTCCTCCTCCTCCTCCTCCTCCTCCTCCTCCGGAAAAAAACACCGATGCGGGCGAGGCCCAAGCCCCAGCTACAGCTGAAGAGCCCGAGCGCCCAATGGCCCAATGATGCGTCAATCTTGTTCCCAACCATCCTGTGGTGTTGGGCCCTCGTTTTGAAGAGACAGCGCCCCGCGTCCTCACTCTTCCTCCCCCTCCTCCCTCCCACCATCATGATCCTCATCATCACCATCATCATCATCATCATCATCATCGTCACCGTGATCGTCGTCGTCCTCATCATCGTCATCGCCATCATCATCGTCACTATCATCCTCGTCACCACGAGCCTTCCGAGAAGCCCCGCCCCTTCTCACTTCCCCCCAGGCTCGCCGCCAATCGTTCCTCCTCGTTCTTCTGAACCTCATCCCCCGCTCTCTCCCGCTCCCTCGTCCTCGCCCGCCTCCTCCCTGCTCCACATCCCCCTTCCCTCCTCGTGGTCGTCGTCGCCGTCGTCGCCGTCCCCCCCGGGCCCCCCGCCGATACGTCGAGAGCTGACTGGCCACGGCAAGGCTTCGGCCGGCGGGCGGCGGATGCCCGCCCCGTGGGCGCCCGCGTGGGCGCCCGCGGGCGCCCCGCAGGCTGCACCTGCGTAGGCCGCACCTGGCGCAGCTTGCGCTGCGCAGGCCGCACCACGTCGCCTGCATCACGCAGAGTGCACCACGCAGCTTGCACTCCACGGCGTGCACCACAGAGCCTTGCGCCGCACAGGCGTCCACCACTTGGCGTGCACTGCACAGCTCGCGGCCCATACGGCCTGCGCCACACGGCTTGCGCCGCCCAGCTTGCACCACACAGATTGTTGCACGGCGTATGCTGCACTACCCCGCTTGCACGACGCAGGTTGCACCATACAGCTTGCGCCGCATAGCATGCACCACACAGCTTGCAGCACATACCTTGCACCAAGGGGATTGGATCGCCTAGCGTGCGCCACATAGCTTGCACCATGCAGCTTGCACCACATAGTTTTCACCACACTGCTTGCGCCACATAGCTTGCAAAGCGTAGCATGCACCACACAGCTCACGCAACGTGGCTTGCGCCAAAGTATTGAATGACTCAACGTGTGGGGTTTGCGCATGTCGCTGTTTCTGCTTCGGCGAGGTGACGACTGACCTGCCCCCTCCTCAACTCTCCTCCTCCCCTCTCGAAACGCCAGCCCCCAATCCCCCCAGAGCCTCCGCCGCCACGCAGCCGACTGCCCACATGTCCACGGCGATCTTGTAGCGCCTGCGCCCCCCCCTCCGACGAGCAGGCTGCGAGGACCCACGGCCTCGTGGCATGGCCTCGATCGGTTCAGGTGAAGCGCGTAGCAGGCGCTTCAATCTAGAGAAACACCCTGCCCCCCTTGGCAGGGAGGGAGGGGCGCGGGGAAACACGAGGCTCTGGGCCATCCGCTATGATACCCTTCTCCTGACACTCACTCTTTGTCTCTCCGGCCCTCCATCTCTCGTTCTCTCCCCCCCTCCCTCTCTCCCTCCATCCCCGCCCCTCTCTCCCTCGATCCCTCGCCCCCTCTCTCTCCTCTCCCCCGTGCGGCGGGGGGGCTGGGCCAGCTGCCTGGCGCCCAGCAGCAGCTCGGGCGGCCTTCGGCGAGGGGGCGAGGGCGAAGAATGCGAGAGGGCAAGGGGGGAGGAGGATGCGAGAGGAGGGGAATGGTGTGGAGAACGCGGGGGATCGGAGGAGGACCAGTCGTGACCACAGCGGCCCTCCTCAACAGTGTTCGTCGTCCTTCGACGTCCTAGAAGCGTGCCGTCGCAACGGCTGGATCCGCCTCGAAAGACGCGTCGGAATGAATCCCGGGAAAGGTCCAGGGACATATCTTTAGCGGATTTGGGCCCTGCGGGAGAGCAATTGGACTCCTGTGATAGGAAGGGAGGGGGGACTGGGAGTGGATTGGGGGCGACGTCAACAGATCGCCTCACGGATCCTGACCAGTCCGATCCTGGGCACAGTATGGGCTCATCTACGATCGGTGAAGTGGTCAGTGGACGTCGCCCGATGGATGGGGGGAGAATCGAGGAGTCGGACGATGAGATAGAGAAGTGGCAGACTGTCTCGTCATAAACTGTGGGAGGTCCACGCGAGGATTTCTCGGGTCGGCGTTGCCCCCCACCCGTGCAGCGTTTCCAACGCCGCCGCTGGCGCGAGGAACGCGCCAGGACAGAGGGGGGCCAGCGCCGAGCGCCGACCCAATAAATGCACGCTTGCCTCCCAACGTGTATGCTTATGCCTTCCCCGTTCTTCGATGAGCAAGGAAGGGGAGAGGCGGGAAAGAGGGGGTGCAATGGGACGGGATGGACGCGTATAATCTCTCCCACAGTCTTTCAACAAGGGAGGAGACGGGAATGTGCGAGCAATGTGCGCTCGCGCCACATCTAACATCGTATCCCTCCCGCGGATATCTTCCCACTGCGCTGATGTTATCTCTACCCGCGGACGCGTGTCATGACCGACCTGGCACTCCGACAAACAAACACCATCGTGTCATGCGCAATCGTAAGAAGTGACCTGCCCACACAGGAGGTGGAGGAGAGGAGGAAGAGGAGGAGGAGGAAAAGAAGGAGGAGGAGGAAGAAGAGGAGGAGGAGGAGGGGGAGGAGGAAAAGGAGGAGGAGGGCGGAGGCGGAGGAGGAGGAGGAGGAGGAGAAGGGGGAGGAGGAGGAGGAGGAGGGGAGGAGGGGGGGAGGAGGAGGAGGAGGAGGAGGAGGAGGAGAGGAGGAGGAGGAGGAGGAGGAGGAGGAGGAGGAGGAGGAGGAGGAGGAGGAGGAGGAGGGGGAGGAGAGGAGGAGGAGGAGGAGGAGGAGGAGGAGGAGGAGGAGGAGGAGGAGGAGGAGGAGGAGGAGGAAGAGAGGAGGAAGAGAGGAGGAGGAGGAGGAGGAGGAGGAGGAGGGAGGAGGAGGAGGAAGAGAAGGAGGAGGAGGAGGAGGGGAGGAGGAGGAGGAGGAGGAGGAGGAGGAGGAGGAGAGGAGGAGGAGGAGGAGGAGGAGGAGGAGAAGGAGGGGGGGAGGAGGAAGAGGAGGAGGAGGAGAAGGAGAAGGAGGAGGAGGAGGAGGAGGAGGAGAAGGACAGAGGAGGGGGAGGAGGAGGAGGAGGAGGAGGAGGAGGAGGAGGAGGAGGAGGAGGAGGAGGAGGGAGGAGGAGGAGGAGGAGGAGGGAGGAGGAGGAGGAAGTGGGAGAAGGAGGAGTAGGAGGAGGAGGAGGAGGAGGAGGAGGAGGAGGGGGAGGACGAGGAGGCGGAGGGGGGGGGAGGAGGAATGCATATATATATATATATATATACTACTGGAGAACGACCGCTAACGCCAGTCTGCTGAGACGTACCTTAAGCAGGGGCGCGGGGGCAAGCCTAGGGTGGCGCCACTTACACGCGGGTACCAGAAAAAGGTGCAAGTGCAACCAGCGAAAGCACCAGAACACCAAGAAGCCCAACCGCAGCCCCCCCCCCAAAAAAAAGGGCTGCGCGTAACTAAATTCCAGGATCCAGCGATAATGCACTCCTCACTGCTGGAGGGTAGCAGGAGAGCACATGCGCCACCAAGGAAACTTACCAGCTCGCGCCACACGCCGAGCAGCTTTTCGAGCTGCGTCCGCCTCAGATAACGACCCCCCGCCTGAGCGCCGCCCCAATAAGCCACCCGAAGGGCGCCACTCCCACGGGCGATCGCACACCCCCACGCACGCCAGGGCGGAGGACCCTGACCGCGGGAAGGATGGGTGTGGAACCTCCAATGAGCCCCCCGCAGGGGATC